GCATGTATAGAAATTACACTGCTCTTTATTAATGAGAAGAAAAGAAAAAGAATCATAAATTACCAAAAGGAAACAAATAAAAAGAAAATTAAATGAGAAAGGGACAAAAATTGGTATATTGTCTCTGCGGATATAAGCATTTTAAAATCATATTTATCAAATCAAAATAAATTAACAAATAAACAATAAATATTTCTCAAAAATAAATATATACATGGCTTCTAGCCACTTAATCAGATAAAATCAAATTTGAATGACTTCTGATCATGAGTTAAAAATTTTCTTGCTTCTGGCTATATGTTAGAAAATCAAAATTATGACTTCTAGTCATTAAAATAGAAAAATTAAAGTTATGGTTTCTGGCCATAAGAAAGAAATCAAAGTTTTATGACCTCTGGCCATAAAGAAGAAAATAGAGTTTTATGACTTCTGGTCATAAAATAGAATAACAAAGTTTTATGGCTTCTCGCCATAGGAAAGAATAACAAGTTTTCTGGCTTCTAGCCATAAAGTAGAAAACAAAGTTTAATGGCTTCTGACCATAAAATAGAAAAATTTAAACCATATGGCTTCAAGCCATTTAGGAAAAGAAAGAAAGAAAATACTCATAGTGTAGAAGAGTATAGAGGATAGACAATAAATCATGAAACATAATACATAGTAATAATAAGAAGATCAGAATACTATACCTTCGTTAAAGTACTCGTGCTGATAACGTGTTATAAATAAAAAAGAAGAATAGAGAAGAAAAGAATATCAATGAGAGAGTATTTCTCATTCCATTCATGGGTGTTGAATACATTACACATGGCCTCTATTTATAGGCACAACTTTACATCTTTGATAGAATCTACAGATATAATAAAAAAAGATAATTGCAGATAATGGGGATAATGGGAGATACTGAAGATACTAGGAGATAAGGGGGATAATGATAGATACATGGACATCCATAAAGATATTATATTCATATTGCATTAAAATTATTCCTAGATGGAAACTTTCTAATATGTGAAACCAATGATAGTTTAAGAAAATATAATAAATTTGTAAGATAAATTAATTAAAAACTTATATCTAATTAATATCAAAGTAAACCTCCTAACTAACCCTTGTATTTCGGATCAGAGGCATTATTTTTTAATGTATGAATATTTCAGAGAAAAAAAAAATTATATTAGAAAAAAGGAAATATAAAATTATCATTATCATTAAGCATTATCTAGTAAGTTTAAACGATAATATGGAGACATAAGCTGACTGAGACCGAGGCAAGACTGTCTGAAATTGTGAATGGGCCCAAGTTAAAGCCATCATTGAGTGCGATTGTTTCTAAGCTTCTAGGCTAAACTTACGGTTGCAATAATTGGAGCAACATGCCAAAAAATCTGTTGTTATTTCCTATTTAATTGTTGTCAAAACTCATACCTTAACGGTCCTGATTTGACAATTTTTTAACCTTCATGAATTTTTTTTGCGATTTACCCTTAAAAATAACTATGAGAAGAAATTGAATTAAATAAGAGGCCCAATGACAATCTAGCCGGTTTATATTATATTCAAGGGCACAAATGGGATTCAAAAAGTGATCTCAGGGACAGGATTGAAGGACAAAATGAATGGCTAAGATTTACCATTGCAGAGCAAGGCAAATGATGATTATACCCTAATTTGGCAAATAGTCATAGGTGGAATTTATTTTTTATTAGAGACGCATAAACCAGCTGATTAACGTTATTTCATCCTTTTTCATTATGTCATTTCGGCCAGCACTTGAGGAAAAAAACGAGAAGAGGAATTTTCATGGAGGTTTGCATAAGCTGAGAGAGAGAGTAGTAAGAGAAAGCAAGTTTTGTCCATATTTTTCACCATAAATCTAAAATCCTTCCTAAAATAATGTTATACACACCAAGAGCTCCTCATCCACGGTGTCAGCATCTTCAAAGAAACCAAGAATTAACTATAGCAACAACTAGTAGTAAGCTTAAAGTTGGTTTTCAGCAAATTTTTTGAGCTTTAGAAACCCATATTTTGAGAACAATAGGGAATGAGGCCCATGTTTTTGGTTAAAAGACCAAGATAGGAAAAGTATATATAAAGGAATATGTGAGTTTTTTGATAGACTGTTTAAAATTTCCTTTTGGAAATAATTACTCTTACATTATATGTAAATTAGGATTTGGATTTGTGACAAGGTCCACCTCACGTTACAAGAAAAAGGGCTGTAAAGACTTGGAAATCCAAGAGCGGACCTACCCATAGAAGACCCACTAAACATAAGCCCATTAACATTTGATTATGTAGCCCAACGTGAGAGGCATTACCTAATTTGCCATTAGTATGCCTAGTCACAACAAAGCAGAATCTATCCTAAATGACCAACAAGGTTTGGGTCTAATAAAAAGAGATGAGTCCCTTACAACATTATCAATCAAGATTTGAATTCTCACTGAGTAAAGTGTCCATATTTAGTACCTAACAATGCTTCAAATATGATTACTTTCGGATACTTTTGCTTATTTAAAAAAAAAAAAAAAAGGAATCTATCCTAAATGTCATTCTAAGATACTTTTCTCTTTCTATTTATAAGTCGCATCTAACAAATTTTATTAGAATTATTAAAAATCATAAACCTTATTAATTTCACCTTAAAATTTAATAACCTTTTTTTTTTATATACTGGAACTAAGAGAACAAAAACTAGAGAAAAGCAAAAACACAAGGGCCCTTAGTCTCCTGTGTCTTCCTGAAAGAAGTTCCTAGTGGCCTCCGGGGTTAGAATTCGTAGCCCAATACCAAGCTCCAGTGCCTTTCTTGCCAAAGAGTCTGCTACCAGATTATCGTCACGAGGAATATACCTACACGTTACTCGCCAATCACGTCTCAGCATTTCTTTGATTTCTGTAATCAGGCGAAAGTCATCGTGAAGATTTGACAGTTCATTATGTATAAGGGTCAACGCCAATTGTGAGTCGCATCGGAGGAGAACATTCCTGAGCCCGTTATCCCAAGCTCTTTTGAGTCCCATTAGACAGCCCCACAACTCAGCTGTGAGTTCATCACCTGCGGCGAGCTTAAATTGAAAGCCTTCAACCACTTTACCCTCCTTTTCTCTTAAAACGCCACCACATGCAGCACTTTGACTGTAGTATGAGAAAGCCCCATCGACCTCAACCGACGCCTCAAAATCCTTTAAGCTCAAGTTGTCAGCATTATCATCCATCTTGACACCATGAAAGTTAACACAGGAGAGCTTCTTATGTGCATTCACCATGCTCCCCAAGATGGCAGTAGCTCGTCCATAGATGCCATGGATGTTAGTCTCAGCGTTCATGCGTATATATTCATTCCTATCCCGCCATAGGAGCCAGCATATGATGATAAACAAGCCCTTCCAGTAACTGGACTTGTCACTCATCTTTCTCGCCATATTAAGGTGAAGCCACTCTTGTAGTCCACTAGAGAAGAACCTGTTGTGGTAAGAAGGTGAGATGAGCGCCTCCCACATTCTCTTGATCTTGGCACAATCTCTCATTGCGTGAAGAGTATCTTCAGGGAGTTGTTTGCATCGATCACATAAACCCGTAGGATGAAGGTTAATGTGCTTCTTCAATTGATTTGTGATGAGTCGGTCATGCATAAGAATCCATGCAAAGGTTTTACATCGTTGAGGAATTTTGAGCTTCCACATCTCCATCCATCTAACCGAAGAGCCGTCATGCTATTGGTCAAGTGACCAATAGGCAGAGCAAACAATGAACTCGCCGCTTTTTTCCCATTTCCATCTAACACGCACGTCACCATTGCCTTCCTGAATCTGATGAATACCATCTGCAACCTCCTTCCAGTTTCTTTTGATGCCATTCCATGCATTCAAGCCCGGTTTTCGGGGGTTTATATGTGGCAGAAGGTCATCACCACACCCATACTTCCCTCTGATGACCTAAGCCCACAACGACTGATGATCCTTGACAAGTCCCCAGCCCAACTTCATCATAAATGCACGATTCTGCTGCTTCAGGTGTTTCATACCCAAACTGCCGAACCTTTTTTCATTGCACACTTTGTCCCAAGAGATGAGGTGGATCTTTCTTGTTTCATCGGTAGAGCCCCACAGAAAGTTTCGAGCTCTCTTTTCTACATTGTCACAAGTGTGAGTAGGAATGTTTGCTGTCTGCATAGAATAGGTCGGCATAGCAGCTATAACAGCCTTGACCAAGGTATCGCGGCCTGCAAAAGATATCCGAGACGCATTCCATGTGCTTAGTTTGCTTCGGACTTTATCGAGGACGAATTGGTAGGTCTCCGAAGTAACTCTCTCGTGGTGCAGAGGGGCCCCTTGGTATCTCCCAAGGTTGGTCGTTCTAGAGAAGCCTAGCTCTTCGCTCATCTGTGAACATCGGGTGCGGTTGATGTTACTAGAGAAGAAAACTCTAGTTTTGCTCATATTGACGCTTTCTCCTGAGGCTTCGCAAAAGTTGTTGAGAACTTGCTTGATGACTCCGACTTGCTCCATATTAGCTTCTGCAAACAACAACAGATCATCAGCAAAAAATAAATGAGAGATAGGAGGGCCTTCCTTACCTAGTCATATTGGTCTCCATCTTTTAGCATCAACCTCTTCTTGGATCAGATGTGTTAGTTTTTCCATGCATAACATGAAGAGGTATGGGGAAATCGGATCCCCTTGTCGTAAGCCTCTAGAGGGGGTAAATACTCTTATTTAGCATATACATACAATTTTTAAGAAAATAAAAATCCGCACTATAATAAATGTATCATAAAATAATATATTCATCTTAAAAATTTAATGATCTAAGTTATATAGGAAAAAAATTTTCTCTCTCTACCTTATGAAAATAGAAGCAGGCCGAAGGAGTAATTGTTTTGAGGAATCATAATATTGGCGTAGAAAAGGTACATCAGTGAGTAGTAAAAACAAAAATAAACAAAGAACTAGTACAAGAGAGAGAATCTAGAGAGAGAACGTCTGTGCTTCCATGCAAGAAAACGAAAGTTACAACCGGGAACACCCACCTAATAGACATCAGGTCTCTCAGGGAGGGATAGTGGATAATGCGAGTACTATGCCAAGTACCAGAGTTACAGAGGAAGGGCAGAAAACTGAGTCGAGTGTTGGAAAAAATAGAGGATCGGAAGAGGAAAAAAAGAACATTGAAGTGAGGGGAAAGCTGCAGAGAAGAGAAGGAGACTTCACCGGTCAGGTATCGTTACACCCCCGCGAGGAGGACTGGATGCTCGAGGACAACGCTGAAGTTTTCGAAGAGAGGGGAGCACCCTTGTCCTACAGAGAGGCGCTTAAACCCAAATCATTAGTGGAAAAGGTGCAAGGGAGCCAAAAGGAAGCAAATGAAGCGTGGGACGGGAACTTGGTATATTATGATGATGAGGAGCTAAGGAAAGGAGTAAGAGTTACAGAATCAATCAGAGGACCCATTCTCGAGTTTTCAGAAGAAGAAAGAAGGCGCTTGGCTGTAAGCTGGCAGAATACTCTCATTATCAAGCTCCCCGGAGAAACGTTGGGTTTCATGCATCTGAGAAGGAAAGTGAAGCTAATGTGGCAAAAATCAAGGAATGTTGACATCTCTGACATTGGAAACGGCTTTATGTTAGCCACGTTCCAAGCGAGGGAGGATTACTACTTTGCGCTAGAGGGTAGACCCTGGCTCATAGCTAACCACTATCTCACTGTGCAGACCTGGAAGAGCAACTTCAACCCTTGGCAAGAAAAGATTCAACGAGTGGCTCTCTGGGTGAGATTACCAGGACTCCCAGGAGAATACTACAATAAAAAAAATTTTTATAACTTGGGGAACAAAATTGGAAAAGCGATCAAAGTAGACGAGATGACCTTAACCAGAGCACGCACCATGTATGCTCGGATGTGTGTTGAAGTTGATCTAGCGTCAACGCTCCTGCTCGCATACACGGTACACGGAAATTCCTTAAAAATTGAATACAAGGGACTCCACTTGATTTGTGTCTGCTGTGGCAAATTTGGACATGAGTCTAATTGTTGTCCAGTAAAGGCAGCTATGGTAGAACTAGAAAAATCAAACGGAAAAGAACACAGGGGAAACTCAGAGGAGGAGGAAAGGGGAGGATCAGCGCCAGTTGAATCAGAGGGAGTGTGTGGAGACTGGATGGTAGTACAGGACTATAGAAGAAACCGACGGTCACCGCAAAAAGAAGCCAAAGGACCAGTTGTACAAAAGAAAGACAGCAGAAGGGACAGAAGTGCAGGGGGTGGTTCAAGGTTTGCGATTTTAGAGGTGGATGACGGAAGCGCAGAAAAGATAGATTCAAGAGAAAGAGAGAGGAGGCCGGCTCAAGAGTCGGCTCATGTTAGAAATCTCCGAGAAAGAAAAGGCACCGAGAGAAGTCAGCAACAAAAAAATAAGACAGAAAGAGGGGACGAAGGTAAGGGAAGGAAATCCTTGGATTTTGGAAAGAAGAAAGAGAGTACACAAGCGTAGCAGGTGGGAATAGGGAGAGGACAGACAGAAAAAGTACATGGAGATAATCAAATAGGAACCCATAAAGCTAACAAAGAAAGAGAACAGGAAAGGGCATCTAAGGTGGGCCAACAGGAGACAAGCAAAAGTGGGCCGAACGGTGTCTATGGAGTAAACGGAAAAAGCCATATGGACTCACACAAAGGTTCTAAAAATGGGGCTCAAAAAGGAGAATGCGAAGAAGTTCAAGGTACTAGGCTTGAGGATAACAATATGGAGAACTCCTTGGACTGCATCCCTGAGAAAGTTGATGAAATGATGGAAACGGATGAGGCCAAGCCACCAGATCCAAGTACTTCTTATATTCAGATGGGCCTTTCTCCGGTAGAATATCAGGAATTGGGTCGAGTAGATTTGGATGAGTATGTGTGTGAAACCCCATTGGAGGGTGGGAACCAAGAATTGGGGAATTAGCGTGGGCTGCCAACTCCTTCCTCTTTTGACTTATGATTATTGTTTGGAACGTAAGAGGAGCAGCCGGGAGAGCTCTCGGGCTTGCTGTTAAAGAACTTGTTAGAATTCATAAACCTTGTATAGTAGTCTTGGTAGAAACTCGGTGTAGTGGAGATGACGCCCAAAGAGCTATAAAACGGATGGGCTTTAAATTTCAGATTCTTGAGGAGGCGCAAGGAATGTCAGGTGGACTGTGGATTCTTTGGAATAATGAGACCATTAAGATCAAAGAGATACAAAAACACAAGCAATTCATTCACTGTGAAGTTTCTGGGTTAGGGAGACAGGATTGGTTATTTACTGCCATCTACGCTAGTCCTAGGACACAAGAAAGAAGGGAACTTTGGGACAACTTATTCGGGATTTCCCATAATGTGTCCAAACCATGGCTATTGGCAAGAGACTTTAATGAAATTATGTCAGGATTGGAACAAAAAGGAGGAAAAGAAATTGACGAAAAAAGGTGTTTAAAGTTCAGAACAGTGATTGACCAATACAAGTTGATGGATTCGGGAATGGAAGGAGTAAAATATACTTGGAGAGGACCCAGAACAGGATTGACCAGGAGACTATACAAAAAACTTGATAGGGCCCTTTGTAACTCTCATTGGAACATTGTCTTTAATGATGCAAAAGTAATAGTGGGTCCTCGAACGTAGTCAGACCACCACCCTCTCTTTATACACCTTGAAGGGCCTAGACAGAACACTCAGCAAAGACCTTTTAGATTTGAAGCAGTTTGGGTCAAGCATAATGACTTTAAGGAAGTGGTTCGTAATAGCTGGTCAGGAGAAAAGACAATACGTGAGGATCTCAAAGAACTAGTAGGGTGCTTAAAGATCTGGAACAAAAACTCCTTCGGACATATAGGAAAAAAGAAGAATGAACTGATAAGGAGGCTCAAGGGAATACAACGTGTGACCCAAGATAAGTACAACCCATTCTTGGAGGACTTGGAGATTGACTTACAAGAGGAGCTCGAGGAAATACTCGAAAAAGAAGAGATTCTTTGGTTTCAAAAAGCAAGGACTACTTGGCTTCAAGATGGTGATAGGAATACCTCCTACTACTACTCCAAGACAACATCCGGAAGAAGGAGAAGAAACAAAGTTACAGTCCTGAAAAATGAGGAAAACCAATGGGTCAAAGGGAAAGAAGAAGTGGGGCGGTTAGTTAACAATTATTTCCAAAAACTTTTCACTGAAGAAGATTTCAACAGAAAATGGGTCTACACAGAACATACGTGGCCGAAAATAAAAAGAGAGGATTGGGACACCACAAACGGCGGCATTACAAATGAGGAAGTAAAGGAAGCAATGTTCAACATTGGCAGCTTCAAGAGCCTAGGGGAGGATGGTTTCCAAGCTTTGTTCTTTCAGAATTGTTGGGAGATAGTGGGCGATAGTGTTTGTAAAGAGGTGAAGGATATGTGGAAGGAGACAAGTAGGATAAAAGAGGTGAATAAAACGCTTATCACTTTGATTCCAAAAGTGGACCGACCGGAGAAAGTGCAACAACTCGTCCTATCTCGCTATGCAATATGATCTACAAGTGTCTTACTAAAATTCTGGTGAAGAGGTTGAAGTCCATAATGACCACCTTGGCCTCTCCGCACCAAGTTAGTTTTGTACCTGGCAGAAATATTCACGATAATATCATCATAGTTAATGAAATGCTCCACTCCATGAGGAGAAAAAAGGAAAAAAGGGATTTATGGCTATCAAGGTGGATCTTGAAAAAGCTTATGACCGGATTAGCTAAAACTACTTACTGCAAGTCCTACATGAGCTTAACAGCCCCCCAAAAACGATTAGAAGAATATGGGGATGCATAAATACAAATGAGACAAACATAGTGTGGCATGGGGAGAAGTTAGGAGGCTTCAAAACTACGAGGGGACTTAGACAAGGGGATCCACTCTCCCCGTACCTCTTTGTACTTGGCATGGAAAAGCTTACCCATATCATTAATGATAGAGTGAGAGAGAAACAGTGGAGAGGAATGAGAGCTGGTCAAAAAGGACCCACTATCTCACATATGATTTTTGCTGATGATTTGGTTTTATTTGCAGAGGCTAACCTTGATCAGATAAATGTTATCTTAAATTGTTTACAGGTCTTTGGAGAAATGTCTGGACACAAAGTTAGTCAAGAAAAAACTTATATATTTCTCTTCAATTGTGCAGAACCATATGAGGAGAGAAATTTGTTCAAAGAGCAAATTCCACCAAGTAGAGGAGCTAGGAAGATACTTAGGAGCGGAAATCTCGTTTCCCCGGAGAAGAAGAGATAAGTACAAGAACATAGTGGAAAGAGTAAACAGGAGATTGCAAGGGTGGAAAGCTTCCAGTCTTTCTCTTGCTGGGCGCATCACGCTTACCAAGTCGGTAGTTAACGCCATGGCACTGTACCCGATGCAACATGACAGTATTCCTAAAGGGATCCTTGATGAACTGGAGAAAAAAGAGCGTGGATTTATATGGGGAGACAATGAATCAAAAAGCGATGGCATGCTATATCATGGGATAAAATGTGTAGTCCAAAGAATTCAGGAGGTGTGGGAATAAAAACTCTTCAGACTATGAATGAGGCGTTCCTTTGCAAACTAATTTGGCGCAGCTTAAAGAGGCCAAATGAATTATGGGCTCAAGTCTTGAAAGGAAAGTATGGGGACAGAGACACACAGCAGGGGAATGTAATTGAAAAGAGAAGTGATTCAAGGCTTTGGAAGGGGATGGTCAGGATGTGGGACAGATGTTACTCTAACGTAGAATATGTGCAATAGCAGTCATCGGAAGATGGACACAAGATAAAATGGAAATTGACAAAAGACGGGAAATTCACAATAGCCTCAGCTTACAACTAGTTGAGGGGAACTGCAAACGAGCAACAGAGAAAATGGACTCTAGTCTGGCAATTGAGAGTACCAGAATGAACCAGAATCTTCATGTGGCTGGTCATGCATAAGAGACTAATCACAAAGGAAATAGCCAAGCGATGGGATGGATCCACTGGAACATGCCCAATCTGTAAAAAAGAACAGGAATCAATTCTCCATGCACTAAGAGATTGTCCTCATGCCATGGCAATCTGGAGAAATATTTTACCTGTCAAGTATCGAGTTGACTTCCTCGGTGCTGATTGGAACTCTTGGTTGTATATGAACATGACAAACAGGAAAAAGAGCTACGAACTTCGGAGATGGTCTGATATCTTCGCAGTGACCTGCTGGTTCATTTGGAGATGGAGGAATGCATTAATCCATAACCAAGACTATGAACCACCAACCAATGGAGCAAACGAAATTTGGAATGCCCTGAAGCACTATCAGTGTGGCATGAAGAGTGATGCGTTGCAAGCTAAAAGACAGGAGACCATATGGGTATCATGGACCCCACCACCAAGAAATTGGTGCAAATTAAACACAGATGGAACGGTCTCAAGAGAAGGTGTTGCTGGTTGCGGAGGAGTAATAAGGGGTGATTGCGGTGAATGGTTAAGAGGATTCTCAAAGAAACTGGGAAACATGGACATAGTGGAAGCAGAACTGGTAGGAATTCTAGAGGGCATGAAGCTATGCTGGAGCATGGGTTTCAAACTCATCAAAGTGGAAAGTGACGTGAAACAGATAGTAGATTCCTTGAGAGCTCAAACCACTATCGTAGGATACTCACATATTCAGCAGAAGGTACTAGAGTGGACGAACAGAGACTGGAGGGTGGAGTTTCATCAGATATACAGAGAAGGTAATCGATGCGCCGATCGCCTAGCACGTATAAGCCTTCTACTCAAGAACTCTTATGAGCTCTGGGAACAACCCCCCACGGAAATCAGAGACTTGCTTCGAGAGGACAGGGAAGGACGTGGGACTCCACGTGTGATCAGAATGTAATTTTGGTTTATTTCTTTGTTCACCAAAAAAAAAGAAAAAAAGAAAAGGCACATCAGTGGTTGATTAATATCTAATTAAAGAACGTGTATGAATCATTAATATAATACAAATATAATCATCTTTAAGTTTTAAAAAAGTCAAAATATAGCATCATCATGACATCGACCATAAGAAATCAGTGGTGGCGGCATGTATAATACACACACAATTTAAAAGGAAAAGTCCCGGGTAATATATATTTATATATATATAAATTCTTGAGCTCAATAAACAATTAGCAACAGGGAGAACTAATATAAGATTTTAAGGAAGATATATAATTATTAAAAAATTTCATCGATAAGTGAATAGCTTTAGCCTTTTGCTATTTCATGTATCAAAACTTACCATTATAAACTGATCAGTTGTTTTGAGATTTTTTTAGTAATAATATTCCTTATTTATAACCTTATACGTAATTTTCATTTATTAATATGGCATATATGCCCATTAAGCATCAAACTCATTAGTTAGTGCAGCCCAAACATAGAGATCAAATAATTTAGATTATTAGAACTCGATCGAAATTACAGCATGCGTGCATAAATTTCAATGAAACTAAAAATGATTAATTATAA